TAATTAGCATGTGTTGAGGGAACAGAAAACAACTTTTAATATTAGCCTTAGCCAAACATAATTAGGGAAGTACATTTTCTAATGCAAGGAGTCCTGATGTCGATAAAAGCCAATTTAACAAACATCTGTTGAGAACTTGCTGTGTACCAGACACATTTCAAAATGTATAATTTCAGAGCAATTTGAAAACTCAGTTGGAATACCTTATTGGTATTGAATTTTAAATATAATAAAGATAGAAAGGTAAGCATATGTGTATACACACACACACCTTTAACATGAATCTCCATAGTCTTTTTTTTTTATTATGAGAACATTATAACAACATTCAAGATAATTTGGAAAAAAGAGAATAAATAATACCCACAGTCCCTCTCTAACAAGCTCTATTTTCATTTTAATAGTGTGAGTTTGAGGGTTGAACTTATAAATAATTTATTTGGAGAGTAAAACCCTGAATGCTTCTGGTGGTAATGATTTTAAAAATTTATTTTTTAAAACCCTAGGAGAAAGCATAAACTAGTGATCTCAAATTTGGAGGCGCCTTTTTTTGCAGGTCTCCATGGTAGTTTCAATGGATGAATTCAGCCGCTCCCTTTGCTCAGTGAAGGAGCAGAATTGACCTCTGTCCTCTTGCGGGGCTAGGTCAGTGGGCAGTGGACATCTCTTCTAGGGGCTGGGTGTTTAGGAGCCTGTCCCTCCTTTAGTCTTTTACATGTTCAGGGACTGAAGGGAGTGCTTTTATGACTATGCTAGGGGGAAAAGTACAATTTAGAATTCTTATTCTGAGGCTCTAAGACCTTGGAGTAGGTAGAGAAGGTAAGATCTAGATGAGGACAACTATTGAGCATCAGTACAAACCACGTGGTTGATGGGGCTGGACGTGTTCATGGGATTTAGTGAGGACAGGTGATTGTGACCTGGAGTGGTGAGGGAACCACATCATGAAGACTGGGCTTTCCACATGGCAGGGAGATGAATTGGTAGAGTAGGTGTGTCTGGGGCACGGGCAGAAAAATGAGCATGCCGAGGAATAATGTTCGCAGGATCCTTGGCCGGCCAGCCAAAGGGTCTGCCTTAGAGAGAAAGGTTGGATCCAGAGGGAACAGCTAGAAATGAATTTCATGAAAGTACTTTGTAAGCTGTCCCTGAGGTCAGTGTTAGCTGCTGTCTCTGTTAGGGTGTTTGAGACTGGGAGTGAGGTTGTTGAAAAGGGTGTATTTTCAGGTTATGATATAGGGTGAGTCGGGGGTGGGGTGTGCAGAGGCTGGAGGCATGGAGACCTTTAGGAGAGGATGTTACCTCTCTGCGAGGTGGTCAGTGTATGGCTAGTCTGGGCTGGGGCAGCAGGAGTAGAAAGGATGTATAGTAGAGATTTCAAAGGAAAGATTGCTGGGATTTGCTACCAAGGAAGGGAGAAATCAGACAGGAACCCATCTGAGAAATGATGGAACCATGCACATTCATAGGAAGTGAGAAACTCAGGACTGATTGGGGGTATTAAGAGCTTCTGTTTTTAGAATAATTGTGTCAGATATTAATTATATGTTTTCTATGTGCCCAAGCACAGTTCTGAGTGCTTTACATAACACCCTTGTGAAATAGGTGCTATTACTGTCCCTACTTTGCAGATGAGGAAACGGAGGCAGAATTGATTAGTAACTTGCCTAAGGATTACATACTTAGTAAGCGGCCGAGCCAGGATGCAAATCTGGGCAGTCTTAATTCAAGAGCCAAGCTCTTACCTAGTATGCTTTACTGCTTCTCTATAATAACTAGCATTTATTAAAAAACTGCTCCATCCTATGTTAAGCTCCTTGCATGTATTTACTGCATTTGACTCCCAGAAGAATGCCCATGAAATGAAGGTATTTTTATCATCATTTTTCAGATGTGGAAACTGGGACAGAGAGAGGTTGAGTGGCCTGCCTTAAATCACACAGCCAGGCCTTGCCTACATTGGCATGGTAGGTCTCCGGGAGTCAGCAATATTTATTCACCTGGATTGCAATAGCTACCTATGTCCTTAAGATCCAGTCATGAGAAAATTGAATTAATTGAAATATTTGCAATATAAATTCTTTTAAGAGTTTTTGGATTGAATTTACTGTCCAAATCACTCATAATCACTTGGAACCACCCCCATTTTAAAGGGGATAAGTAATTGACATAATAGTGTCTCTATTTATTGTTGTGCCATTTTCATTATTTAATATTCTGTGTGACTTTGAAAATAATCCCAGCCACTTCATTTCCAAATTCTGGCTGTTCCATTTATATGCTGAGCCTACTGCACACAGGTAGTCTTGTCTAGCACTTCTCAAGTTTTTGGTGCTTAATAATATTTGATGATTATAATTGACCTTATTGTTACCTTCTATGAATTAAGGCTGCTGTGTGTCCTTTGATCTGGAGTGTACTTTGCATGATGTCATGGAGGTACAATTGATGCCGTGGTTGAAAAGCACCCAGATGAAATATTTGTCTGGATAACAAACTGGAAATGAGACTGGCCATCTGTAGACGGGGGATAATTTCAGCCCTTTAGAGCATATTCAACCTGTCTTTTTCCATGGATTCTTCCTTTTACCTTCAACTGTCAACGGGTTTTGATGTTCTTTCAGTTTTAGCTTTGACTACAGATCTGTTTCTCTGCTTCCTCTTGCTGTAGTTCTCCAAGGAGAGGCCTTGGAGCAAACAAATTCCCACCCAACTGAAATTGTACTCTTGGATTTCCTGTGGTTTCTTTCTAACCAATTTTGGGGACTTTTGTTCATGTTCATTCCCTTTGATCTTGTTCAGCATCTGCCCTAGGAGCTACCCACTTTCTTTTTGAAACCTCAGACCTGTTACCTTCCTTGCATCTTTAGCCTTTCTTTCTGGTGGTCTTTGTTTTTTGTTGGTTTGTTTTTGTTATAAGTCTCCCTTGACTCTTTTCTATACCTTCTTAGCTAGAAGAGTTCTCTAAGATTGGCACTCAGTGTGCTTCTCTTTTTTCCACAAACCCTTTCCCTTGATCATCTGATCCCAGTCTTTAACTTTACATATTATTGCTCTGCCTCCACCATCTGAATTTCAGGTTGTAAGGTGAGAAGTCCATCTCCCGCCCAGGTAGCGCCTGGGAACAGGTCTCTTGCGTCTCCTGCCCCAGTCTTTTTCTGACTGTGTCTCCATCTCCCCATCCCAGCCATCTTGAACTTGCAGAGAGGGTTTCCTGGTATGGTTTCCTCTTATTGCCTTTGCCTCCCACCAGCCCCTTTCTTCACCCAGCTTGGATGCTTCTACTCCTCCTTCAGAACTCAGGTCAGTTATTGTCTCCAGCCTTGTGTGTGGAGGGGGCACAGATACCCTGCACACAAGCCATTTCATCCACAAACCTGCAGAAATAATTGACGCGCCCCCCCCCCC